TCCCTGCAGCCATTCTCCCCTGTCTCTGGCTCCAGCAGCCAGCTCAGATTTCAGCCTTAAAGCAATCCAACACCAGGTTTTGCTCATTTTAAACTCAGCCTCAAGGAAGTGTGGCCAAAGTGCAAACACGAGCAGGCTCAGCCTGACTCAGCAGCTCACTGTCATAAGGCAGTGACCTACTGACACCAATATCTTACTCATGCAAAGCACAAACCCAACCCCAAACATCAGCTCCCTCTTCCCTCTGCTGCACCTCCCCAGTGCTGCCGCTGAGGACAGCTGAGCTCTCCTGCTCCAGGTGCTGCTCAGCACATGTCAAACCTGCAGCACGAGACTCGCAGGAGACCTGGAGCCAGGAGCCTGTGTCAGTGTCTCCAGCACACTCCCACAGCACAGCAGGAGTGTAAAGGGGAGAGGCTCTCCTGGAGGAGCAATGTGGCCACAGAAGGTTTGTGCAGCTGCTGGTTAATCTGGGGAAGCAGCCTGAGCACTGCTAAGGGAGTACACTGCATGGTGGCACTGATCCAGGCAGGACTTACACTGAGCAAGTGCCATGAGTAGAATTGTTGGAGTCTTTAAATGTGAGACCACATTTGGGGCATGGATCAGAGTCACTTCGCTTGGAATTGCTTTGGGAGTTGTGTGTCCTGGTCAGGCACAAGATGATCTCTGATAGACATTATCCTTTTATAGGATTCCTGGGACTGTTCCTCAGGTCAATGTCAATGACCACTACTTCAGTGGTTCTAATTTCTGTGTTACTGAACTGCAGGCACTACATGGTTAATTAGAAGTCATGTAGAAAGTGAAGCTAAGGACTCAATTCTAAATCCTGACTCATTCTAAAGCCAGTTGAAAGGAAGCAGGTAGAGTGAAAAAGCAGCACAATATCCTCCCTGGATTTTGGCTCGTGACATTTTGAAGCAGTTCCTGCCTGCAGGATGCTTTAGAGGAGGAGACTCTGAACTTCTCCCAAAGGGTGATGAGGAGAGAGAGGGGATCAAAAAGAAAGGGCAAATCAATATGCATTTGGAGCAGAAAGACAGTTCCCACCTTCTGCAGCCAAGCAAACTAATGTCAGACTGCCTGTGCCCCCCAGCTCCCCTGGAGATCTGTGTCAGGGAGACTGCTGGCACTGGAGGCAGTGACCCTGCAGCACCACAGCCCTGTCCTCAGCACTGCTGCAGCTCCCCCAGCAGCACACCTAAATCAGCCTCCAATCTCAGTGGCAATCTACCTGCTTCTGCATCACTGAGCAGCAAATTGCTCGATGTGAGCAGCCAGATAAGGGAGAGCTCCATCTCAGAGCCAATTCTCCCTGCTGGGAGTGGAACAGGCAGTGAGGCCACACCATGCAGTGCCCAGGCTGCACCACAGACCCAACAGCTCCTTCTCCCACCCAACGGTGTCTCAGCAGCTTCACAGTGCCCAGGGCAGAGCTCACCTCTTCGGCCGTGTCCTTCTCTATCCGGACGATCTTGTTTTCCCAGTAGATTCTCTGGGATTCCAGCTGGCTCGTCAGCAGGTAGGAGTACTGCAAACACAGGAGACACACAGAGCAGTCAGGATGGCTCTAGTACACAGATCAGTTGGATCAGATGGGATGGAGCACACAGCAGGTTCTGCATACACACGCAAACTGCAGATGCAGCTGATGTGTTTCTCCAGTTTGATTTCAAAATCACATCACTTGGTTTTTAGAGCACAGCAAGGATCAAGTGGAATTCCCACCAAGCCAAACTCATGCCACCAGCTTTCTGAGGAGGAGACAGATTTTTCTTGGGAGCAGCAATAAATCTCTACAGGAAAACAAAGCTTCACCCATCCCTGTCTTGAGAGTCTGTGACCCCAAGGGCTGAGGCACAGAGCTCCCATGCACAGCCAAAACCCAGGGCAGGAGGGTCAGTGGAAGGTCTGTGGGACAGCACCCTCAGCTCTAACCACCCACAGCGACTCTTCCCAACATGTGTGGTCCATTCCAAAAAGTCATTTTGGCATCTGGACAAGGATATGTGTCTTACATCCCATCTTTGCCCTTCTGGTTCTGCAAATGAGTTATGAGAAGGTTGGGAAACCTGATCATTTCTTATCATCAGGCTAATAAGCACCAAATTAGCCATTCACTGCAGAACTGAACGTGCACAAAGCCTTGATCACTCCCAGCAGTCTCTGAGCACCCAAACACACTGCCAAATTCATTCCCTCTAGAAATAATTAGACCTCACACCATAGAGAGATCTTACCTGCCTCAAGCAACAACCTCCCAGAAAAGGGTTAAAAAAGCTGGTTTAGCAGCTGAGCTTTACTCAGAGAATTCCCTGAGACACAGGCAGGTGTTTCTCTGAGCAGTCAGTCAGGGCTGTGTCTCCTCACACACCCTGGAGCCCACTGCAGTGTCTGTGTGGCGCAGCAGGGATTGAGGTCCCCTCCCTCAGTCAGGAAGGAGGCTGAGCAACAGGTCCCAAAGCTACAGAAACCATTCTCTGCTGCAGAGAAGAAACAGACCAGGCTGGTGTCGGAGCAGCCTGTGGGTCCCACAGCCGAGCTGAGCACACAGCTATGGGCTCCTCCCTCCCTGCTCAGCTACAGGCTCAGCTACTCCAGCTGACAGTCCCCCTCACATCCTGGCTCAGAAATCCAGTCACAGATCCACCTGGAGGGTCTGGTGAGTGACTCTGGGCACTCAGACCCTTCCCTCCCTCAGTGACCTGAGCATTTGCAGCAGCAGAACCAGCACATCCTCAATCCACCAGTGAGCACAGGAGGACACTGCAGCTCACTGCGCTGCATTGGCTCTGCAGAGCCAGAGAGAGGCTTGAAAAAAAAGAAAAGGCAAAGGCAAAAGCAGCAAACCCATTCTGCTCCTGCCTGGGGCCGACTGCAGGGAGCAGCTCTGCTGGGGAAGCTGGTGGCATGGAACCAGGGTCGTCTCAGGGTTTGAAACACTTCCACAACAGAGTCCAACAAATCAAAATATTTACCTCTAATTGTAAGGCATCAATTTTCTCTTCCTGACACATATCTCCCTCACACTCATACTGAACTATCTTCCCATCAGTTTTACTTGCCACCAGTCGATGGACGTAGTTATCTGGGGAGAGAAAAGTCAACCGTGGGGACTGAGCCCAGGAACAGCCCCCAGGGCTGCAGCACCACCAGCCACCCAGGCTGCAGCAGCACCTCTGTGAGGCACAAAGCCACCACCAGGCAGACCTGTCCTCAGCAGACTTCTCCCAGGCACCTTCCAGGGTACTCATTACAGCAGCCCATTCCCACACCTCAGGGCAAACCGACAGGGAGGGAGCAACACACTCCACAGAGGCTGCAGGACTGCCCCGGTTCACTAGAGAGACATGTTCTCCCTCCTCCATCTACAGACCCAGAAAAGCTGCTATTAGAGCAGAGATGGATGTTCCCAGAAGACAGGGGTTAGTACAGATGCAAACTGCTTCATCCCGAGGTCTCTTCCAACCTTGAGGTCTCCCAGCCTTGATGACTGGCCCATCTCCAAGCAAACTCTGCCTCAATCACTCCTAAGGGCTCCCAAAAGCTGTTCCACAGACAGGGCAGCAGAGTGCTCACCTCCAGCATAGTCCCAGACCCTGTGGTTGGTCAGCTGCATGGCATAGGTGTGCTGGGTCTCCTCGAAGTGCTTGTACGCGTGGCGGCTGGGCCCGCAGCCGATGTGGCCACAGATCAAACAGATCCACAAGTTCTGCCAACACAAGGGGAAGGAAAGCTCTGTGGGTACAGCACTGCCAGGTGGGGAATCAGCACCTGCAGAGAGCATGATGTGACACTGGTGGTCTCCTGGTGCTGTGCACTGCAGCCACTGCCTCAGGAAATAAGGACTTTGCTTTCCTGCTCCTCCTCTGAAGCTTTGCTTGGCTGGAAGGCCAAAGAGAAGGGGACCCTGCTCACTGGAGCTCATTACACCCTGCAGGTACTGGGCACGCTGACAGATCACTGCCCAGATGGAAGAGTGGCCTTGGCTGGCACAGGAGGCACCTCAGCAGGGCCAGCAGAGCAAGCTCTGAAGAGCACAGACTAGAAGGGTCACCACATTTGGGGTCAGTCACCACAATCAGGGTCAGTTCAGTCCCCTGGTATCACACCCATCACACACCCCCTTCAGTTTGTGTGCTGGTACTTCTAAGAATCAGACTGGTCAGAACTGGAAGTTGGTGAGGTAACATCCCTTCCCATCACTGACTCGACTCGAGGAAAGCTGACACACCACTGACTGGTACATCAGCCACAGGACCAACCCCCAAAGCGAGCAGAGCAGCTGTGAGGTCAGATCTACTCTAGATCTCACTCACCATCCACCCACCTACTTACTTCTTGAACTCCACACTCAAAACACTTGTTCTCTTCCACGGGCTCTGGTGTCTGGCAGTACCTGCAGACAGGGCACCTGGAGGGCAAGAAGCATCGTGATGAGACTCAGGGAGCTCCAACTTCATGTTCCAGTAATCAAAGAGAGAGCCCAGGAGCTCAAGGGCAATGCCTTGTGCAGTGACACTCCCTGTGCCACTCATCTCTCAGATCACATTTACCCCTCAAATTCACCTCCACTCCACACAAGGTTTTTAACCTGGTAAGTGACAGAGGAACAAAGAGCAGTTCTCCCAAAGCATTTCCCAGGTTCAGCTGGATCTGGTTTTGCTGTAGTTCAGGCACAGAGAGTATCTGCAGCCATGAGCATCTTGTGGGGCTGCCAGCAATGTTTGCTCTGCCAGTGAGCAAAAAGCTCAGGGAACACTTCCCTGCCTCAGCCACAAACAGTGTGGATGTGTTCCACATCTCCCAGCACTGCTCCTCCAGACTGCTGCCAGCTCATATCCTCAGCTCTCCACCACCTGCAGGGACCTACACAGCAGCTACACACTGCTGGGGAAGGAGGTTGTAACTACACACTGCTGGGGAAGGAGGTTGTAACTACACACTGCTGGGGAAGGAGGTTGTAACTACACACTGCTGGGGAAGGAGGTTGTAACTACACACTGCTGGGGAAGGAGGTTGTAACTACACACTGCTGGGGAAGGAGGTTGTAACTACACACTGCTGGGGAAGGAGGTTGTAACTACACACTGCTGGGGAAGGAGGTTGTAACTACACACTGCTGGGGAAGGAGGTTGTAACTACACACTGCTGGGGAAGGAGGTTGTAACTACACACTGCTGGGGAAGGAGGTTGTAACTACACACTGCTGGGGAAGGAGGTTGTAACTACGGACAACCAAGGGACACTGCAAACATACCTTCGTGTGTAAAACAACCCTGAGGAGATGCTTTAGTTCTACCCCAACCCAACGGATTCAGCCTCAGCCTTCCCAGGAAGAGCATCCCATACCTGCATCCTAAAGGAATCTGCAGCAGACATCCCCTTTGGATCTACCAGAGAGCCCAGAGCTCTGCCATCTCCTGTGCAGCTCCCTCAGTGCTGCCAGAGACACAACACCCGAGGCCAGAAGGAAGCTCTGTCCAGACCTGAGCAGCAGCAGCTCAGCTCGGGGCAGCTGAGGCTGCATCCTGCTGCCAGGACTGTTTATGTATTTTTCATTAGCTGCTGGATAAGCCACAGAAATATTCCAGGGAGGAGACAACTGGATTGCAGTCAGGTTTCTATACACTTACAGCCTCGGTGGCGCCTCAGCAAGGAGGACAGAGGTTTTCCTTTATGGTTGTTTTAGACTGGGAGCATAAGTTGTGCTTAAATTGTATATTACATATTTAAGTGCTGTTTTGGATCTTGTTCCTACACTGGCTAAGCTCCACTGCTTCAAATTTAAACTGGTTTTGATTTATGGAGAAAAACAGCACATCAACTTGTACAGCTACAAATCTGATTAATCCTACTGAGGTTCTGTGAGTTTGGCTCACAAGTGATAGACAGAGAGCTAAAATTTCCCTCACACTCCATCAGAGAATCTGGCAATCAGGGTAGCAGGGACAGAGAGAAGATCTGCAGCCTTCTGCTGCAGTGTCTGTGCTGCCTGAGGTGCAGCAAACAGTGGCCAGAGGAAGAGCCACACACCCAGCTGAGAGCAGCACTGGTGCCAGTCAGGGGCTTCGGGCACGCCGAGATCCCCTTCCACAGGGGTGGGGGAGCACGAACAGCAAAGGGTTAGGGGCAGGGAAAAGAAGAGCTGCTTTAAGAACAGACACAGATCCAACCCCCAGTCCTGCCCTGTGCCAGGGACACGACTCCCAGCACTCATTCCACACCCACCAGAGCAACAGCCTGAGTGGAGCCCTCCCTGCCTGATTTACTGAGTGACCTTGTGATCATCCCTCCCTTCTCCTCCTCCCACCCCAGGCCTGTCTTCCTGCACAGCTGCTCTTGCCCAGCTCTTCCTCCTCCCCTCCCAGCATGCAGGTAAGAGAGCTGCTCCCCAAAGGCCCCTCAGCTCCAGGCAGGTGTGCAGATCCATCTGCAGCGACGCCAAAGAAAGGGATGACTGAACTGACGAGGCTGAGTGAAGCAGAGCTGTGTGTGCATCCAGTGCTGTTTACACCAGCAGTTTTATCCCACAATATTTTGAGGTAATCAGCATTACTTTGCAACTCCCTCCCTGCCTCAGCAGAGAGGCCCAGGGGAATCATTGTTCAATTACTTTTGGCAGGGAGATTTCTCTCTGGGAGTCCCTTAATGGGAAAAAAACAGAGCATGAGGACTTGCAGTAATTCCTGCCCCCACAGTGATGAGCAGAGCTTTGTCAGCACAAAACCAGCACACTCAAACCAGGGGTTTAGGGGTGGGATCAAGCAAAGCCTCTTACGTGGTGTCCTCCCAGCGCTGCAGGCACTGGCTGTGGAAGCTGTGGTTGCACAGGGTGGTCAGGATCCCGTTCACAGACTCGTCCATCCTCTCCAGGCACACAGTGCACTTGGGGAGCTCTGTCAGGTCCATCACAGGCAGGCTGGCCCCCTGCAAGGCAACAAGCAGAGCCAAATTGCTCAGCACTTTCCAGTCACCGTCAGTCGAGTCAATCCTCTCTCCCATGACTGGCACCAGGGGTGAAAAACATGACAAGCTGAGTCCACACAGGGGTTGGAAATTGGTTCAAAAGAAAATAAAGTGATGGCCAGCATGAACCAGGCCACAGGCAGGATCCTCTCCACAGCATGGGCTCAGTGAAGGTGCTGCAGGTGCTCTCTGGATTCACTGAGCTACAACCCAAGGCAGGTTTAGGCTGGAGGTGAGGCACAAAGCCCACGGAGTCACCACACAAACTCTCCCAGGGACCCCTGGAATGGGAAATGGGGTTTGATGCAGTTAAGCTCTTCTTGCAGCATACTGCCCAGTCCAAATGATCCTGTTAAACCCCTCCGAAGCGCAGGGAGAAAACCAAACCAGACTTACATCTTCTGATTTGAAGACTTCAGCCCTTTCCACGTACACCAGCTGGCAAACATCTTCCTCTATGGAGTTGAACTGCCTGCCATTGCAGGCCATGTAGAAGCTGTCTGCATCAGCCTGGGCACAGAACAGAGGCAACTGCTTAAACAGAGAAAACTCACAGCTGACACAGCCAGCAAGTGGAGGAGGAACCTCCCATACCTCCCTTCTGCCCTGCAGGCAGCCCTGTAACACCAGAGCAGGGACTGCAGCCAGCTGCAGGCACTGCACTGTGGCCACTGCAAGACATGAAGTGAAGCTCAGGACAGTG